TGTCAGTGCCTGAACAACTGAGCCTCGTTCCAGGGTGACCACGTCAGACCCCATCCCTGTTCTTCACAGCTCCTTCTCAGTTACGAGTCACTGTCGCCTCTTCTCTCAGGTGAGTTAGTTCTGACTGTGAGGAAAGCAGTGTTACCACAGGGGCAAAGGAGTAGGACAGAGGCCAGGCCTATGCAAGTAAATACAGTCTGAGGAGCAGCTGAAGGTCACCTTTGTTCAGTCTAACAGATAAAAGTCCTCTGTTCTTGATGTCCTTATCCCGCCCAAGCCTACAATTCCTTGGAGACAGAACAGGAAGAAGTCAGATTATTTCATCGCAAAAGAAAAAAGAAGTTGTTCTCTCCCGTGTTCCAATTCATAGAGTCATGTCTGGGAACTAGGGTGAGGAGAGCGAGGCATCGACCTTGGGCTCGTAACATACAGGGATGCCAGAAACATCCTAATAATGAGCAACAGCAATCAGACAACAAAAAAGAAATAAAAGGTATTCAAATTGGCAAAGAAGAAATCAAACTCTCTTCGCAGATGACATGATACTTTATATGGAAAACCCAAAAGACTTCACCCCCAAACTACTAGAACTCATACAGCAATTCAGTAATGTGGCAGCATACAAAATCAATGTACAGAAATCAGTTGCTTTCCTCTACACTAACAACGAAAATATAGAAAGGGAAATTAGAGAATTAATTCCATTTACTATATGACCAAGAACCATAAAATACCTGGGAATAAACATAACCAAAGAGGTAAAGGATCTGTACTCAGGGAACTACAGAACACTCATGAAAGAAATTGAAGAAGACACAAAAAGATGGAAGAGCATTTCATGCTCATGGATCAGAAGAATAAACATTGTTAAAATGTCTATACTGCCTAGAGCCATCTATGCTTTCAATGCCATCCCGATCAAAATTCCACTGGCATTTTTCAAAGTGCTGGAACAAACAATCCTAAAATTTGTATGGAACCAGAAAGAGACCCCGAATTGCTAAGGAAATGTTGAAAAAGAGAAACAAAACTGGGGGCATCACAATCCCTGATTTCAAGCTTTACTACAAAGCTGTGATCAATAATATTTTAGCACAGTATTTTGAAAAACAAAATTAATGTAAATCAATCTATCATTTAAAAAGATGTCAAGGGGGGGTGCCTGGGTGGCTCAGTGGGTTAAGCCGCTGCCTTCGGCTCAGGTCATGATCTCAGAGTCCCCGGATCGAGCCCCTTATCGGGCTCTCTGCTCAGCAGGGAGCCTGCTTCCTCCATTCTCTCTCCGCGTGCCTCTCTGCCTGCTTGTGATCTCTCTCTGTCAAATAAATAAATAAAATCTTAAAAAAATAAAAATAAAAAGATGTCAAGGGATGCCTGGGTGGCTCAGTCGGTTAAGTGTCTGCCTTTGGCTCAGGTCATGATCTCAGGGTCCTGGGATCAAGCCCTGCATCAGGCTCCTTGCTCAGTGGGGAGCCTGCTTCTCCCTCTGCCAGCCACTCCCCCTGCATGTGCTCATTCTTTCTTTCTCTCTGACAAATAATTAAAATCTTAAAAAACTAATAAAAATAAATAAAAAGATGTCAAAGTTTAAAGTAAAAACAGGGTCAGCATTATCGATTTTTTAAAAAAAGATTGTATATTTACCTGACAGACATAGATACAGCAAGAGAGGGAACACAAGCAGGGGGAGTGGGAGAAGGAGAAGCAGACTCCCCGCTGAGCAGGGAACCCGATATGGGGCTCGATCCCTGGACCCTGGGATCATGACTCTAGCAGAAGGCAGATGTGCAATGACTGAGCCACCCAGGCACCCTATTGATTTTCCATTTGCCTCAGGCTCCCATCAAGTTTGGCAGGACAGTCACTGATCTTACATCACTCCCCACCACCACACCACCAATGACATTAACATTGGATGTTTACCTAAATATTCAAAATAAAACAGACATACCAAGGGCAAACAGACTTACAGACAGACACTAAACACCCAAAATGATCAGTAAAGGAGAAAAAAACTTTTATTCTAAGCCCCTCTTCCATTTGTCTCAGAGCAGCTAACACTGTAACCAAGTTCTGGTGCAACAGTTTGCCCTGACAGTGACTGTTGATTAATCGTTACTATTTAGTGCCCAGTAGTCTGCAAATCACTGAGAGTCAAATAATACAATTGCGAAGGTGTAACAAGTGAGGAGTTTAAACACAGCCTTCCTCCTTGGTGAGCAACCAATGTATCTATTGATGGATCTTAACTCCAAGACAGACTCTTGCTATCAGAGGCATGCTTAGTGCTTTCACAGCCTTTGATCTACCCAGGATCATGAATTCTTTTCCTATGAATAATTGTTCATGGTCATGGATTCTGTGTTGTACTACACAAATCTCCCTTCGTGAGCTGAAGGATTAATTCCCTCCAGCTCTTGGGATTTTATTCTTTGACATTACTCAGCTGTCAATTCCTTTCAGAACTGTCGTGGGCGGAAGAAAGCCACCTTACCCACCGCCACACTCCCTGCTGGGAGCAGCCTGTATCCAATGACTGGCTGAGGCAGGAGTAAAAAAAAATGCCCAGCTCCCTCTCCCCAGTTCAGGACAACTTCAAAGGCTATCCCAGCTTCCGCTCTCCTAGCAGGGTCAGCTGAGGTCTTCTCCCTCTGCCCAAGCCTGCTTATTTTTCTTACCCCTTCTGTTGTTGCTCCTGAGAACATTCCTAAATAAATTTCCTGCATGCAAATCTCCATCTGGGAGTTGGCTTTCCAATGAACCCAACCTGCTCCACTTACAGGACTTCCTAACATAGTGTTGTGTTAGTTACATAGAGCTATGTGAAGAAACAAAAGTGATTCAGACAGTAAGTTCTGCTAATCGTCGACATAAAAATTACTGGCACCCTTTCTTGGGATATCAATAAAGACACCCAATTTTTTTTAAGTCTCACCTTTTTTTTTTTTTTCTTAAAGATTTTATTTATTTATTTTTGAGAGAGAACACAAGCAGGGGGAGCAGAAGAAGGAGAAGGGGACTCTCTACTGAGCAAGGGGGACTCGATCCCAGGACCCTGGGATCATGACCTGAGCTGAAAGCAGATGCTTAACTGACTGAGCCACCCAGGCACCCTGAAGTCTCACCTTTAAAGCTACCATATCTGCATATTTATTCCAGATGACTCTTTAAGCCTTCACAAAGGCCTTATGAAGAGACCAAAGAAGATTCTTAAGTGAATTTAATCTGAGTAGTCAGATCTATATCTATGATCTTCTCCTCCCCTTATAATTTAATAATCAAAGTAGAAGTTAGGGTGATGATAAGGGTAGAGAATAGAAGTATAAACTGTCCACTTATTCCAACCTGAACCCATTTAGGTTGAGATGTATTCAATGTAATTATCCTTTCTCAGTTTCTCTAAGAATTGTTTGCTGCAGCTGCTGCTACTATTGTTGCTACTTGGAGGGCTACAAGGATCCCAGAGGAGGTGATGCAGAGAAAGTAGGATCTGGATCAGAAGAGGGTTTTATCCAACCCAACACAACACGGCATAGTGGGTTAGAGAACCAGAGACAGTACCAGGAAGCACTAAGCCTATAGCCAGGCATCAAGCCAGAGGCAGATAAGGAAGAAGACAGGACAACAAGGAGCCAACCTGATCCTTGAAAAAACATTGAACAAAATGACATATCTGGTACAATTTAAGGCATGTGGGTCAAAGCCAAGTGAAAGGTAAACAGGAACTGGAGCTTCCTTGGTCAGGTTGCCTGGTGCATACAGCAGGGACCATCAGTGTAGCAATTTCAAATCTGCCCTGAACCAGCTCTCAACCTCCATCCCCTTATCCCTGAATGCATCTCCTCAAAATGTCACCCACTGAAAATGACAATGGGGACTGGCAGGTGAAGAATGTGATAGCAAACACAGGGTCCCAAATCCCCTGAAATGTCTAACCCTACCACACATTCATTCATTCTTCACATACGCTCTTCCATACCAAAAGAAGCACCCACTTCCCCACACACCACACGCTAGGGCATTCTGTGATCCCTTCACCACAGAACCCTCTTGCCACAGGTACAATGTACCAGAGACCACCTTGTGAGACCAACCATTGATCTCCCTCTGCTGAGGGGGTAGGTTCAGCCTACAATGGGGCTGATGGGTTGGGGGAAAAAATGGAAAGCTAAATTCCCTCAGTCCAGATTTTCCTCTTTTGTAGCATCCCTGATGAGATCAGGGTTGGAGAGGCAAGGCTGTGACTCACCCAGAATGCAGAACGCAGGGCTCAGGGCCCAAGACGGTGACTGACAACATAGAGTTATAGGTCAGTTTGTTGTTGTTGTCATTGTTTTTCAATTGTGTCAGGTTAGGAAAGGCACTTCTAATCCTAATTTTGAGACACCACAGATGAACCCCAAATATCTGAAGGTGTCACTAAAAGTTTTCAAAATAAAGTTTCTCTTACTTTTCTTCAATTCAAAAACACCTCTCGAAAATTTAAAAAAAAATAATAATAAAAACACCTCTCTAGGCTACATGAGAGTTTTACAAAAGGGAGCCAAGTTTGGCCTGGGGAATAGACCTAAAATACACCAGTACTCGCAGTCCCTTCCATATTTCTGTGCCTATATTTCTGAATTTCCAAATTCCCAGTTAGGAATAACAGGCCTAAGCTTTCTAAAGTCGAGGCAGATCCCTTTCCCAAGTGACAGCCACAAAGAAAACACTGTATCACACCCTATCTAAAGAAAAGGGAATGGTAAACTTTAGGGGGGGAAAGTGTCCTAACATGCTCCCTGACCTTGAGCAACAGCTTACCCCTCTCTGGGTCTCAGCATTCTACCTTAAATCCAGAAGACTGGGATCTCTCACACCCAGCCCTCAAATTACCCGAACAGACACTTGCCAAACCCCGCCCCAAACTACCTGGTGATCTTACTATTTTTGCGTCTGGCTCCGCCCAGGGACTCCTTCCCTTCCAATCCCTTTGTTAAATAGCTTGCCCTCTAATGGCTTTTGCTCTGGAAACAGCACCTCGGAACTCCAGCCCGAGAAAGCACTCCCCAGCATGAGGGTTGCCCTGCTTCCCGTGGCCAGGGCAGCAAGCCTTGGCCTTAGTTTCTGGCTTCTGCTCTCCTGGGTAGACCGAGGTGCGGTCGCCAAGGAGCTCAAGTTCCTGACTTTGGTGAGTAGACTTTTCTCCTTGTTTTTTCCTTAAAACTGTTACCAGCAGGGGCTGATACCCAGGTGTCAGGTTTCACTTTACCCTCTACTGTGGTCTCCAGAGTCCTAACTCAGAAAGTGCATAATCAAGTTTCGCAAGCTCCTCCTAACGAATACTTAACGTGTCCCGACAAAAAGTGTTTGCTTCTGCTATTTGTGCCTTTGCCGCTGTTATTTATTTATTCACGTATTTCACAGCTGCCCTGAGTGCATGTTTCCTCCAGATAGCCACAGACGCTGTGCGGGAAGCCCCAGCTGGCCACGTTAGCCCCAGGAGCTAACCAGGCTTCCCTCAGTGCGATGATTATTTGTTTGCAAACCAAAGAACACCCATCTACTGCATGAAGGAGCCCCTTCCCCTTTTCTTTATCAGGAAATTGGAAACTCTATTTGCCAACCGTCTTTGAAGCATAAAAGTGAAATTAAATTCGAGAAATTTCGAGGAGGACTTCCTGATATGTAGATTTGATTGATCATTAAAATAATGTTTTTCTCCACCCCCGTATGTGTGACAAGTTGTGGGGAAAGAGGGGTGGCTGATGTGTGACGGGAAGGAAAGAAAATACACTGTGGAGTTTTCTTAGAAGTAGGTAGGAAGGGGGTTTGCGAAGTGAAGGGGATTTATCACTTTCCTGGGAGTCCTGGGGTTAATCCCTGTGTGTCCCTGGGTTTCCCTGTCTGTGATTTTCTCTGTATCTCTACTTCTCTCTTCACCTGTTGCACTCACTGTCTCCACCCCCTCCTCCCCCGACTCCGCCCCTTTCTTTGTCTTTCACACCTGCTCTCTCAATCTCTTTCTCTTCCTCGCCTTTTTTATTTGATAGATGGAAAATACGCTGGTAAATAAGTAAATTTTCTTCCTGTGAGAATACTCAAAATTTATTTCTATAATTTTCAGGGAGGTCATCTTTTACCTAAAAAATCAAACATAAAATTCCTGTTTCCTCAGCTGAGTGTTTTCAGAACTCCTTTCTTTCCCTTCTACAGAACAAATTTCATAACCATATGATTATGCAAATTATGATTGTTAGTGCAATAAATCTTTACTAGGTCATGAGTCAACAAATGAGAGAGAATCAGAGAAACATCATCAATTTATTTACAAGTGATTTACCAGCTGTCAGACTTCTGTGCTGAAAAAAGAATGGTGTGTCATATCGTGTACCTTCTGTAAAGAAATCCACGCAAGTGGGACTTTTACTTATATTCATGGGTTTCTTGCCAACACGTACATTAAGCAAGTGTGGGGGACACAGCAGAAACTGCACTCTCAACACTGTAGGCCTGTGGTAAGTTGGCTGAGAGGTAATCGCCTGTGAGGTATTATAGTGAACTTGGAGTTAACTGCATGTGGTCAATTCTGTGTCTGTTTTACTCCAGCATGGGCTCACTCCCTTGACTACCAAACTGTCTAGGGCTTCCTTTCTCCCCCGTCACTCTCAGTTAACAGATGTTCAGGGACTACAACTTCATTCTACCCTAAGAAAAACCTGACAGACACACCTGCGTGGCTCAGTTAAGCAAGCATCTGCTTTCACCTCAGGTCATGATCTCAGGGTCCTGGGGATGGAATCCCACTTTAGACTCCCTGCTCAGCAAGGAGCCCGATGCGGGACTTGATCCCAGGGATGTGGGACTTGATCCCAGGATGCTGGGATCATGACCTGAGCTGAAGGCAGCCACTTAACCAACTGAGCCACCCAGGCGTCCCTGAATAAATAAAATCTTTAAAAAAAAAATAAAAAGGATAACGACAAGAAAACCTTACAAAGATAGCTCTCTTGGGGCTATAAAGATTAACATTTATCACACAAGGCTAATGTTAATGATTTTTCCTAGCAAGGCTTTCTTCCATTAATGGTAGATGAAAAGCAACTTAATACAACTTCTTGGCCCTTACCAAACAATATCTAAGGACTTCAGCGATGAGATACTACTTTCTTTTTATTGATTATAGAGAATATTTGACCATAAATGGTTAAATTATATACCCAGGCAAATCCTTAGAAAATTATTAGAACCAGAATAAAAGAAAGGTGCCTCTAATTAAAGTGGTAACATTTGTAACAATAACCAATCATCACTCGATGTTATTATATGCCGGGCACTGTTCTGAGAGTGCGATGTGGAAAATGTCCCATTATCCTTCCAACAACCCCGTGAAGTAGGGTTCCTAGGAAAACACAGGATACCCAGTTAAATTTGAATTTCAGATAAACAGCAAATAATTTTATAGCATAAAGTATGTTTCGTGCAATATTTGGGCATCCTGCAGTTTGGTTTGCTCCATCTGGCGACTGCTCTTTAAAATTTTACAGAAACTTTACTATCTCTATATTATAGATAAAGATATTGAGACGCAAAGAGGCTAAGCAATTTGTCCACAGTTACGTGGTAGCCGTGGTTTGTCAGGATGTGAATCCAGGCTGTATGACGGAGGCTCTGACCCTGATCCCTGCACATAGTCCATTCCTGCTGGAATGGAGCCAGCACATGGAGCTGAGCGCTCCCCCTGGAGGTTAGGTGCACAAACAGCTCATAATCAGTAGGTAGTTTCCTCGCAGTTCCTCCGAGATCCAGGAAAAATAAATCTTTCCCACTTCTGAGAAGCTGTCCTTGGCAGAAAGAGCAGGAAACTGTCCTTGGCTCTTGTTCTGTCTCATGAACAGAGTTATCACACAATCTTTTAAAACAGGTTTATCAACGTGTGTCCCATGGAATGCTAGTTTGACGAGTTGTTAACAGGAGTTGCTTGGAAGAAAAAATGGGTTTCAGTAGTCAAATCAGTTTTGGGAACAAAACAAGAGTCACATTGTATTTCAGGTCTCTAAAGGGCAGGACTCCTCGGTCTTTAATAGTCTAACATCTCTGGGCACCTGAGTGGCTCAGTGGGTTAAACCTCTGCCTTTGGCTCGGGTCATGATCCCAGGGTCCTGGTATGGGCTTCCTGCTCAGTGGGGAGTCTGCTTCTCCCTCTCCCTCTGTCCTTCTGCTCATGCTATCTTTCTCTCCCTCTCTTGCTTTATCTCAAATAAACAAATAAAATCTTTAAAAATAATAATAATTTAATATGTGCCATGGCTTTAAAGGAAAGGATCTAGTAGGGAACTATATTTCCTAAAATTTGACCACAGAATCCACCTCCTCTTTTCCCAGAGTGTCCCATAGAAAACCCTTAGAGAATCATTATTTTTAACTTTTTAGAGAAAGAGTAATAAGTATGGTGAGTATGGGAGGTCAAGAGAGACCTCTCTTGGTTGCCTTTTTCAGAAGGGACCTGGATTCAGTGACCGCCAGGATTAGAAGTAGGAGGAGGACATTCCGGACCGATGGAACTTCACCGCCCTGAGGCTGGAACAATGTATTGGATGCAACAGCAGGGGCTCTGTGGCTGACCATGTTTAGCAAAAGTGTAAGATAGTAGCATCAAGGTGGGCAGGGCCAGATCAGATAGGATGATGTAAAACGGCAAACCCACTCAGCAGACTGGATAGAGAAGGATCATTCTTGGGGGAACCAGACCATGGTTCTGTTTTTTAAAAAGTCACCTGTGATCTAAAAGGATAAAGTGAATGTGATGTGGGGGAGAAAACAGTGGGTAGCATTCATGAAAACCAAGAGATCTGTATGGCTCGTTCTGTCTCTTTGAACCTCAGTTTCCTTTTTGGTTCAGGACAGCAATAGGGCCAGCCTGGCCTTGCAGGAGTTCTGAGAATTGAAAGAGAGAGCAGGGAAAAGACTGTACAAAACTCTGGAGGGTTACACGGACATAAGGGGTTGTTATCCTGGATGTCTTCCTATTGCAGTTACCTCTGGGGCTGCAAAATAGGCCTGGGGCTTACCCTATATGTTTAGGTTTCTGAAGGATTTCATACAAATCTGAAGGATTTCATACAAATTTGGCAGGCGGCTGTTAAGAAGTTTGCCTTACCGCAGGCTTAAAACACTGAGGCACAGTCTAAAGGCTCCAGCTGAAACTCCAGGAGCTCAAGAATGGCGTGTGTGCACTTGAGGGCGCTCACTGATATGCACACCAACACATGCTCACCGACACACACACACATACTGATTTCCAGCGTCTGGGGATGTGGAGAGGGATGGTTTATTAATGGTCTCTGGGGGACACCCCTTTTGAAGAGCTCACAGCTTGTTTGAGCCACTATCTCAAAAACCCTTAAAACTTACTGCAGTATAGGGAAGTGCAATTATTCCTGACCTGTAAGGACAGAGTAAGAAAGCTTGTTCAAGCCTGTGATTATGTTCCAGGGCTCTGCTGTTTAAATAACCCTCCTCTAAGGGCACCATGCTTATTTTTCTCCCTAGGCTACACTGTCATTTAGATGCATAATCTCAGTTCTATTTTTTTTTTTTTTTTTTTTTAGAGAGAGGGAGAGAGAGCAAGCACAGGCAGACAGAATGGCAGGCAGAGGCAGAGGGAGAAGCAGGCTCCCTGATGAGCAAAGAGCCCGATGTGGGACTCGATCCCAGGACGCCGGGATCACGACCCGAGCCGAAGGCAGCTGTTTAACCAACTGAGCCACCCAGGCGTCCCCTCAGTTCTATTTTTTAAGTAGTGTTTGGGATTGTTGCTTACATCAGAGTTTTCCTGTAGTGCAACACAGAGAGCTTCTGATCTTAGAGGAAAAGTTCATAACGAAGCCCTGGATCCTGGAGAGCCCACTGAAGGGATGCCGAGGGTGTGTTTTAGCAGAGAAATGAGCCTCTTAACACGGGTTAAGAATGCTGGCACTGGAGGCACACCATCTGTGCTTGGATCTCTACTGTCATTTACATGCTGTGTGACCTTAGGGAGGTCACTTAACTAGGACTGATTTCCTTGTTTGTGAAATGAAGATAATATTCATAAGTGCTTTGTAGAACTGATGAATGGATTAAATTATGAGAAGCACTTAGCACAGTTTCTAGGACATATCAAGCATTCAAAAAACCTTGAGGGACGCCTGGGTGGCTTAGTTGGTTAAGTGTCTGCCTTCGGCTCAGCTCATGACCCTAGGGTCCTGGAATCAAGTCCCCTTCTCCCTCTGCCCTTCACCCTGCTTGTGCTCGCACTCTCTCTCTCTCTCAAATAAATAAATAAATAAAATCTTTAAAAAAAAACAAAAACAAACTTGAGCTATTGTGGTTAAAGGCTGGTAAGAAGCATTGTAAATTATTTTACTACAATGTCTCTCATCTAACTTCCCTTTGGCCAACTTAGGCATTCCCAACCAGAGATGATTTTGCCCCCTACAGAACATTTGGCAATGTCTGGAGAACTTTTTGATTGTCGCAATTAGGGACTGCTACTGCACTCTTGTGTGCAAAGGCCAGACACGCCACTAAACATTCTGCAGGTAATAGGGTAGCCCCTCACAAGGAATTATCCAGCCCAAAATGTCAACAGTGCTGAGGTTGAGATTCCTTGGAAACTAAACGTTGTAGGATTTATAATCAACTGAAACCACGTAACAATTTTAGTTACTCAGATCTAAGAAAATATTTTTGCACAATTACCTGGGATCTAAAAAGTCCAAAATATGTTTAGATTATAGAAAGAGAACTAATGAGGGGTCCCTGGGTGGTTCAGTCATTAAGCGTCTGCCTTTGACTCAGGTCATGATCCCAGGGTCCTGGAATCAAGCCCCACATTGGGCTCCCTGCTCAGCAGGGAACCTGCTTCTCCCTCTCCTGCTACCCCTGTTTGTGTTCCCTCTCTCACTGTCTCTCTCTCTCTATCAAATAAATAAATAAAATCTTTTTTTAAAAATTAAAGAAAGAAAGATAGATAGATTGATCCACTACACCATGGTCTCTGTTTGCTATGGCCTGTTCTACTGCAATTTTTATTTCTCACCAGTTTAGGGGACCAAAAGGTAAGTTTTCTTTAGACACCAGAGACACAACCCAGGTCCTACAAGCCTCCCTCACTTTCCTGGAATCCCATCTGAAAGATGGCTAAAATTGACAACTCTTCCTTACTCTGTGTCTCCTGAAGCATCTTAGCCAGGTAGTGTAAATGACAAGTGCAGGAAATCTCAGATAATGCAAGGTATCCTGCGGCCCTCCTCTGTATTAAAAATGTTTGCTGGCATCAGTATAGACTTCATCTTGGACTTCTGGAGTATTTTTCATGTCTTATCTTTTGCTGATAAAACAGCTTTGTATTTAGTTTGGTATTTTATTCAGAAAGCATATTGGAGTCAGAAAATACCAACATTTCGAAAGTCCTGACTACTCTCTCCAAAGAGGAAAATGTGCAATCAAAATAGCATGACATGCATACAAATTCTAAAGTATTAAGAATTAGCTTTTCTAATCTCCCTTTCCCTAAGTCCTTTATCTCTAATCTCCTAAAAACTAATAAATCATTGGCTCAAGATGGTCACAAATTGTATGTGACATTTAAAAGTGACTGGTTTTATCATATGTAAAATTTTTTACACCATAATTAAGGAAGACTACTTCTCATCAGAGCCTGTTTGCAATAAAGTGATCTTGCAGAGCACCTGGGTTGCTCAGTGGGTTAAGCCTTTGCCTTTGGGCTCAGTTCATGATCTCAGAGTCCTGGGATGGAGGCCCGCATCGGCTCTCTGCTCAGTAGGGAGCCTGCTTTCCCACCTCTCTGCCTGCCTCTCTGCCTACTTGTGATTTCTCTCTCTGTCAAATAAATAAATAAAATCTTTAAAAAAATAAATAAATGGGGCGCCTGGGTGGCTCAGTGGGTTAAAGCCTCTGCCTTCAGCTCAGGTCATGATCCCAGGGTCCTGGGATCGAGCCCCACATCGGGCTCTCTGCTGAGCGGGGAGCCTGCTTCCCCCACCCCCTGCCTACTTGTGATCTCTGTCTGTCAAATAAATAAATAAAATCTTAAAAAAATAATAATAATAAAATAAATAAATAAATAAATAAAAACTAAAGTGATCATGCTAAACTTTGTGTTCCTCCTTGCCCCAGTATACAAACCAGTCTCCATGTATGGCTCGTCTGCTTCCTAATGACTGACTGTCTCCTCACTTACATTACCTGAAACATGGGAAAGTGTTAGTGAGATGCAAACAGTGGTTCTTAACCTGAGATTTACCTGGGAGGTCTTTTTTTTTTTTTTTTAAGATTTATTTACTTATTTATTTGAGAGGGAGAGAGAACAAGCAGGGAGGACAGGGAGAAGCAGACTTCCCACTGAGCAGGGAACCAGATGCAGGACTTGATCCAATAACCCTGAGATCATGACCTGAGTTGAAGGCAGACACTTAACCCACTGAGCCACCCAGGCACCCCTTAAATGAGGAGGTCTTAAAAATCCTGATGCTCCAAATCACTTCTCGGCCTCTTAACTAAGATCAAGTGTAAAATCCTGATGCCCTGGCCACATCCCAATGTTGAGAACCAGTGGTTTAGAAGAAAATCTATGAGGATGAGCTGAGCTAAAACACCTAAGTGAAATTTGTAACTTTACTGTCTTGATCTCTTTTCAGGTATTTAGGCATGGAGACCGAAGTCCCATTGAAACCTTCCCTAATGACCCCATTAAGGAATCCTCATGGCCCCAAGGATTTGGCCAACTCACTCAGGTTGGTTGGATTTTCAGCTAAAAGTTTGCTGATGAGTCTTAAGGGAAACTGTGGAGTTTATAATACATTGAAACCAAATAACCACTTAAGTTACTCAGATCTGGGAGACTGTTTTGCATAATTACCTAGGAACTAAAAAGTCTAAAGTGTGTTTTGATCATGAAAGGCGAGACAGTAATGGTTAACTTCGATAATTTCTGATCATGACCAAGTCACCCCTAGTGACTAGTAACTGTAGGAAATTTGTATAAAATTGCCCGTTTTGATCTTTTTTTTTTTTTTTTGCCCCGTTTGGCTTTATTAAAGCATGAGAGCTGTACATGGCAACAGATGAACACATGAGCTTAAAGATGCTAAGGAGAGCCAAGAGATCCTTGGAAGCCAGCCCCTGAGTTGCTCAGCCTCCCTCCAAGGAAGCAGAAAATAATCTTGTAATTGATAAACTGAATCAGCAGGTTTGGGAAGACAGGATTCCTTTGGAAGTGCTGATGCCAAATTTGATTTTTTTATCAGCTGGATATACTGGGATTGGGCCTTCTTATAAGTGGTCTTAAACACAGGGAGCCCTACTTCCTAAAGAATACTAAAGGAGAAGGTGAAGGCGGGGTGCATGGGGGACAAAGACACTGTAGTCCCTGCTCTAGAGCACCACCCCCTTCTCTTGCAACAGCGGGTGGCTTTTCTGTTCAGAGCTGGAGGCCCCATGTGTTGCTTCTGCCCTGATCAAAGCACTGTTTAAATACATTAAGAAAATGTCATAGACTGTTTAGAGTAGAATATCCCTAAACATTTAACTAAGGATTTAAACCAATGGGTCTCAGTCTTGGCTAAACACTGAAATTATTTGGAGAGCTTTAAAAAATGATGTCTGTCGGCCTCCCAGACAGAGGTTCTTATTTAATTCAGCTAGGGTATAGCCTGGACATTGGGATTTTTAAAATCCTTCAGCTGATCAGTTGACTCTAATGTGCAGTCAAGTCTGAGAACCACTTCCCTAATTCAACCACAACGTTTCATAGAGGAGAAACCCCACAGAGGCTGTTTGAGGTCAGCAACTTTGGGCTCCCCGGTCAGAGCTCCTCCCACCATACCTTACTCCTACCCCGCTTTCAGCTCCTTAAACGAGGGGATGGTAATAAAAATTCAGGGCTTTCTTAATACCTGTGGCTGTGGGGAGACTCCTGTTCCCTTGTTCAGCTTTTCCAGTAAGACTATAAGATTCTTTCAGGCTGTAGTATCTGGATTCTCCTTCTAGGAGTCTCTTGACTAGCCATCACATTTCCTAGAGCAGTGTTTCTCAAGCTTCCTAGAACGAATGTATCATTTGGGGATCTTGTTAAAATGCAGGTTCTAAGGGAAATGAAATGAAATGAAGGAAATGAAAAGACTAATTCAAAAAGATACATGCACCCCTGTGTTCATTGCAGCGTTATTTACAATAGCCAGGATATAGAAACAACCTAAATGCCCATCAACAAATGGATGAATAAAGAAGTTGTGGTATAGATAGATAGATATTATAATGGAACATTATTTAGCCATAAAAATGATAAAATCCTGCTGTCTATGACAACATGGATAAACCTTAAGGACATTATGCTAGATAATAAAAGCCAGACAAAGACAAATACTATATAATCTCGTTTATATGTGGAATCTAAAAAATTTTAAGAACCAAACTCATTGAAAAAGGAATCAGATTTGTGGTTAACCAGAGGCAGGGCGTTGGGGGGGGGAAGAAAACTGGGGGAAAGGCGGTCAAAAGGTACAAACTTCCAATTACAAGGTAAATAAGTAGTAGGGATTTAATGTACAGTGTAACAACTATGGATAAAAACAGCTCTATTAACACATGTGAAAGCTGTTAAGAGGGTAAATCCCAAGAGTTCTCATCACAAGGAAAAACAATTTTTTTGCTTTCTCTTTTTATTGTATCTCTATGAAATGACAGATGCTAATTAAATTTATAACAGTGATCATTTCACAATATATGTAAACCAAACTGTATGCTGTATATCTTAAACTTATACAGCGATATATGTCAATGCTATCGCAATAAAACTTAGGGGGGAAAATGCAGATTCTAATTCAGCAGGTCTGACATGGACTTAAGAGTCTTTATTTCTAACATACTCCAAGGTGAAGCTAGTGATGCTGGTACCTGACCACTCTTGAAGTCACAAAGTTCTAGAGCTCAAATTCCTACCCTTGGCCAGGTACCTGCAATCTGCATAGTGACAAGGTGATGGCCTTCCAGGTCAGTGGTTCTCCAAGTGTGGTCCCTGGACGAGCAACATCACCATTACTTGGAAACATGTCAGAAATGTAGATTGTCTGGCCTTCCCCACTGAACCAGAAACTTGGGGCTTCAGTTCTTGGAACCTTGTTTCAGTGACTCCTCCAGGTGATTCTGTGCACGCTGACATTTGAAAACCACTGCTCTATAGAAGATGACTCTGGTCAAAATGCAGTGGTCAGTTAGTACAACAAATTAGGCCCAAAGAACCTGCCTCTTTACCTACCCGTGTCATCCAGGAAACTAGCAAAACTCAAAGCATGCATTACTCTTTTCCCATCTCCTTCCCCATCCTAGGGGTTGGTGATGATCATGGCAGCCAAGACCACAAGGAAAGGCATGAGTGGGACCAAGCAGAGGCTATAAGGACCACAGGCTTTCTAACTCCTGAAGCTCTAATAAAACTCGGAATTAAAGACAGACTTGAAGGCAGTGTTTCTCAAAGCATGGCAGTCTACTGCATGGATCTGAATCATTTGGGGTGCTTGTTAAAATGCAGATTCCAGGGCCACCTCAGGATCTAACAAGCAGGAAATCTCTGAGGACAATGCTCAGGCATCTGCATTTCAACAAGCATCACTAGATAATTTTGCTGCTGATGCACAGTAATGCTTGAGGATCACTGAACTAAAGCAGCATTTCTCAATGATTACTGGCCATCAGAATCTTAGGAAGCTTGTTAAAAAAGGGGTTCCTGAGCTCCACCCCCTCAGTAGATCAAGATGGGGCCTAAGAATCTGTTTCTAACATACTCCCAAGTGATGCTAATCCTGCTGATCCCTAGACCACACTTTGAGTAACAGACTCTAGTTTTTCATGAACCAGGCATAAATAAACTGTGCAGATAATAAATCATTACACCCAGAGGTTGAAAGTGATCTTCAGATTCATCAAGTCCAGCTTCTTATCAGGTGGTTGAATTTCTTCCACAAAAGCTCCACTGGTTAACCAACTGGTTAGCCTGCTCTCTTGAATGTTCTACCAACAAAGATGAGCCAGCGATGTTCTACCACACCAGAGATGAACCATTTACTTAGATCAATCACCAGCTATTAACTGTGCAAGGCTCTATGTGTAGTGCTAACGAAGGTGCATGAGTTTTCTCAAGGAGTCATGGCTGAAGAGCACAACTCTCTTTTCTTGTTTTCATTTAAAAATATGTAAATATGTCTATATTTCATTTACATAAAAATATGTAAATATGTTTGTATTTCTTTTTTTAAAAAATATGTCAATATGTTGAACTACTAAATTACACCATGGTTTGCTCTACACATTGAATAAGGAAAGATGAGACTCGTACATGAAATGCACAGAATTTACTTCTACTGATTTTTGCTTTTATTTGTTCCCATAGCTGGGCATGGAGCAGCATTATGAACTTGGACAGTATATAAGGAAAAGATATAGAAAATTTTTGAATGAGTCCTACAAACCTGAACAGGCAAGTTGGGGAGCCAAGCGTGGGAACATATTACCATGAAAGAATTTAACGTAATGTTGCATTTGCAAAAGTGCTTTTCCTGTTTCTGAAGAACTTACACAAGTCAGAGATCTTATTTACAAATGCACTCCTCTTTTTTTTAAGATTGTGTTTATGCATGAGAGAATGAAAGCATGAGTGGGGGAAGGGGCCGAGGGAGAGGAAGAAGCAGACTCCCCACCAAGCAGGGAGCCTGATGTGGGGCTCAATCCAAGGACTCTGGGATCATGATCTGAGCTGAAGACAGTCATTTAACTGACTGAGCCACCCAGGCGCCCCAAATGTACTACTTTTTATACAAATATTTTGTTCCTAAAAAATGTATGAATATGACAAGTTCAAAATTTTATGGACACCTATGGCAAATACTTTGGCTTGGCAGGTAGCTACCACTTAATTGGTCTCTTTGTCAATTCAGCTATTGACATAGCAGGTGGCATTCTTCTAATACTGTCTCTTTCACAGTAGACATTATGATCATGATGCTACCACAATGTTTGGTAATGTTTTCGTGTGAGGGTCCTGGCCTCTCTCAGATGCACTCCTTGCTCCACAGGGAAAAACGCACAGTTTTGATCAGTTGGAATCTCCTTTGATTTTCCCACTCTAGGTTTATATTCAAAGTACGGACATTGATCGGACTTTGATGAGTGCTATGGCAAACCTTGCAGGCCTATTTCCTCCAGAGGGTGTCAGCATCTGGAATCCCAGCCTACCCTGGCAGCCCATCCCGGTGCACACGCTCTCTCTTTCTGAAGATCGAGTGAGTATTCTGGAAAAACCACCTGTTTGGCCTCGGAGGAGGAAGGCAGGTTGCCTCGTACTTGTGGGTTGGGAGGTCTGGACACTGCTCAGTCTGTGCAATCTTAATCCTTTTCTGTAAAGGTGCACAGGACATAGTAGGATATAGGAAGTCCCAGGCAAGAGAGAATAGGAAAAGAATAACAGAATTTCAGTTTCGAACTTTATCATCATTGTTTTGCCACCCCTTCAACAAATGGCAATATGGGGACGCCTGGGTGGTGCAGTTAATTAAGTGGCCAACTCTTGGTTTCAGCTCTGGTCATGATCTCCCAGTCGTGCGATCAAGCCCCACATTGGGCTCTGCGTTCCACACTCAGCGCCAAGTGTGCCTGAGTTTCACTCTCCCTGTCCCTCTGCCCCTCCACCACGTGCTCACTCTCTCTAAAATAAATAAATCTTTTTTTTTTTTAAATGGCAGTTTTCCCCCCTCCTTCTTCACATGTACACACACATACACACACACACACATACATAGTTCCCCTTGTTCTACCTTCAATTCCCAGGTTTTTGGTGTGCCACATAGGGTTCTCCTGCCTCCAGAATCTTCTAAGACCTCTCTACCTACAAAATACTCCTCTCCACATGAAAACCCCCATTCTGAGGCAGGGGGAAAGAAAATTTGAGGACATAGTCAGTGACCAGCACTTTGATACGTGTCATCATAGTTACCTTTCATAACAACCTTGAATGGACACTATTACTGTTCTCCTTTAATAGCCAGGGAAATATGTGCTCAGAGAGAAAAACAAAATAGGCCCAGGGCCACAAAGCTGATAATCATCACCACTGGGATGAGAACTAGGTTTATCTCATTCCAGTACCTGAAAAAAAGTGTTTAAATCCTAGCACCTGGGGCATTCTCTATAACAAATCAGGATCCCTGAGGGTAGGATGCAGGCATCAGTACTTTTAAAATATTCTCCCTAGATGATTCTAGTGGACAGCCAAGTGTGAGAACCAGTACCGTAAACCAAGCTGCCTGAATGAGGCTATCTGAGAGAAACTCTCAAATGTATTTGCGCTGGGTGGGATGCACCAAAAGATCTTTAACATTTTCAGAGGAATTGCTTTTGGTTTTAAATGGCATTAAATAACTCTAACTAATCTCCCTGGTGTGGAATTTAAGACTATGTGTAGGAGGGGCACCTGGGTAGCTCCATCAGTTGGGTGTCCCACTTGATTTTGGTTTGGGTCATGATCTCAGGGTTGTGAGATTGAGCCCTGCTTTGGGCTTTGTGCTGGGTATGGAGTCTGCTTTAGTTTCTCTCTCTCCTTCTCCCTCTGTCTCTCCCCCTTCTAAAAAGTAAAAATTGGGGATGCCTGGGTGGCTCAGTGGATTAAGCTTCTGCCTTCGGCTCAGGTCATGATCTCAGGGTCCTGGGATGGAGCCCCACATCGAGCTCTCTGTTCAGCAGGGAGCCTGCTTCCCCGTCTCTCTGCCTGCCTCTACTTGTGATCTCTCTCTCTCTCTCTCTGTCAAATAAATAAATAAAATCCTTTAAAAAAAAAAAAAGTAAAAATTGAAGAAAAAAAAAAGATTATATGAAGGATATAGCTTGGGACAAGGAATCTGTCCTGATTCCCCTGCAGCCACTGTCAGCATGACCGTGTCCTCTCTCGGTAGCTGAGGCTTAGCATGACTTCTGCACTCAGACTGTTGCCCAGGAGCCCCCAGGGTAGGCTTCCATCCTCTTTGCCCTGCCAGTACTCTTAGACACTTGACTTAACTGTTGCATCTGATGACATAAGAATCTTTCCCAAATACTTTGTAGAAAACAGCCTGACCCTGTCAACCTCACTCTAGGTAAATCTGCTCCAACCACTTTTTCTGATGTTTCCTGAAAAGCAGGATTATTCATTTGTACCTCTTTCCTTCACAGAATCAAGAGAGAAGTATTATGATGATCTGTATTTTTAGGAGTTTGTGAATATTTTCTTTCAAAAGGAAAAAAAATCACTTTGGCCTTTTCTGAATAGACAGACACTAGACAGCAGCACCAAATTCAGCCAGTGTAGACCAAGGCAGATGTTTAACACTTAATCCTAAAAGATAGTAATTAAATTATGTAGTAAAGAGATTATAGGAGCTATTAGAAGAGGAAAAGAGAGGGGTATCTGGGTGGCTCAGTCGGTTAAGTGTCTGCCTTCGGTTCAGGTTGTGATCTCAGGGTTCCGGGATCGCGTCCTGTGCCGGGCTCCCTGCTCAGTGGGAGCTGCTTCTCCCTCTGCATCCTACTTGTGTGCTTTTCTCTCTGTCTGTCAAATAAATAAATAAAATCTTGAAGAAAAAAAAAGGAAAAGAGTAAAAGGAGTGAGGAAGAGAGAGGCAAGATTATCCACTCATGGCTTTCAGCTGTGTCCTCACTAAGATAAAAACCGTTCTGACATCAACCAAGAAACCGGACAAACATCCGTCAGTCAACACACAGTAATTCCCAGAGCTGTGCTAAGTGCTGTAGAGAAATATGAGGCCAGGTTTCTCCCCTCATTTATCATCCATTCGATGAAAACAGATTTGCATGGTTGACACGTGTAGACCACGATACAAAGTGGTGGGCAATGAAGCAAGGACAAGCTGCACCTGCTAGAGGAACTCACAGAACGACGCTCCCATGGCGCTTCCACAGGACAACCGTTTGGGTCTTCACTGAGAGAGTGAGAGCTTGAACCAGACCTCGGAGGGGAAGGAAAGGAGAAGAAGAAAACCCCCAAAGCATGGCAGTGGGTGACTATACAGAGGGCTTGCCCTTCTGTGTCCAGAGTTCTTATTTAGAAGGAATGAAAATGTCTGACTCTGTTGGGCATAGACAGGAGAATCTGAATACTTCAGGACGACTCGTGAAAACCCAGTTAAGAAACGGAAGAGCTTTTGTGAATTGCAAAATGTTGGTCAGATATTTAGGTATTTAATCCCACTTATTTTCAGCCTCTTTCAATATTCGGGATGAGAAAATGAAAGTCTAGGAAGGTTGAGTAATTCACTAAAACCTAGACCTTTAAATGAAGAGTCCTGTGCCTTTTCCCTCTGCAGTACCATTCCTTCTGTGGGAAAATCGGAAGACCATGCAGGGAGATTGAGCTGCAAAGCAGCGGGCATAAAAAGAACCCATGCACATTCCTTCTTCAGTACTGTGCACACATGATGAGCGGTGCTCCAAGGCATCTGTCTGACCACAGTTTGGAAGGAAAGGATACTGGAGCCTCACAGAATAAATGTGGAAGCCTTTGAGGAATGAGGAAATGAAGGTCTGAAATTAGATGGTAAATACTGAGAGGATGGAAAACAAAGTAAGGCAAATGTCACTGAATCAGGAAGCAACTTATTTTTATTTATTTATTTAGATTTTATTTGAGAGAGAACGTGAGCATAGGAGCATGGGGGAGGGGCAGAGGGAGAGGAGAATCAGACACCCCGCTGAGCAGGGAGCCAGATATGGGACGCCAAGATCCCAGGACCCCAACCAGGATCACAACCTGAGCTGAAATCAAACGCTTAGATGACTGAGCCACCCAGATGCCCCAGGAAGAAGCTTATTTTTAAAGTTTCCTGAGCAGCTACAAATAGGCCAGACTCTGTTCTAAGCATTGACAACACAGCAATGGACAAGACAGACAAGATCCTGGCTGTCCTTGAGTTGATATTTTATAAGAAATAAATGATAAAGTAAAAAGTAGTAATAATCTGAAATGGTGATGAGTTCCCCAAAGGAAGTAAAGCAAGGTGACGTGATCATGGCTGGGGCTGAGTTAGAAGAGCCTGGTGGGAGTGTCTGGGGGCAAGGTCTCAGGCAGGGAACAGTCTCCTAAGCCTGTGGGTTCAGGGACCACAACGAGGCCCAAGTGTTGCTCTAGAAAAATAAGAGGACAGTAGCAGGAAAGCAGCGCAGTGATCTCTAGAGTTAACTTAGTTTGAATTTCATTCCAAGTAAGATGAAAGCCAGTGAAGGTTACAAACTACAGAATGGCATGATCTAATTAATGCTTTAGAAAGACTGGTGTTGGGGCGCCTGGGTGGCTCAGTGGGTTAAGCCTCTGCCTTCAGCTCAGGTCATGATCCCAGGGTCCTGGGATCGAGCTCCGCATCAGGCCCTCTGCTCAGCGGGGAGCCTGCTTCCTCCTCTCTCTCTGCCTGCCTCTCTGCCTACTTGTAATTTCTGTCTGTCGGGTAAATAAATAAAATCTTAAAAAAAAAAAAATAGAAAGACTGGTGTTGATAAAAATAAACTGAAAAGGATTCGGGTAGCTGTGGGCGTGGAGAATGAACTGTAAAATGGAAAGAGTGGATGGATACCTATTGACCAAATACAAGGCTCCAGCATTAGTCAAATCATAGGTTATGATGGTTTGGACTGGGAGGGAACAATGAATTTGATGAAGAGGAGTCTGTTTGGAGTGTATTTTGAAAGTAAACAAGCAAAACTGATTAGTCTATGAATCAGGATGATAAATTTTACCATCGGCCAAAGAAGATTACAAAGGCGAAATGGTTAAAAATGAAGTTGACTTCAGTTTTGTACGTGTTAAACTTGAGGAAAAAGAGCAATATCCGAGTAGTGGTGTCCACTAAGGGCTGGAAATACAGGGCCGGCCACGAATGAAAAGTCAGAGCAACAAAATAAGCTGAGGGCCACCAATCTATAGATTATAGTCAAGACTAGAGAAGCTTGTCAAACTTAAGCTCATCCCTTTGTCCTTATAATGGGTTTTAAAATACATTTTTCTATATATTTAGCATATGCCTTTATTTTGACCAGAACTTAAGTTAATGAGGGGTTAATCAGTCTCTTAGATTCTTTCCGGAGCCTCTTATTCATTTCTCTATACTTGTGGAGGGGGGAAAGGGGAGGTGTTGCAGGATGCCTTTGCACACACATGTGTATCTTGTGCTAGAAATATAAGAGGTCCGGTAGGAAGCGAGATAATAGTTATATCAACATGGAAAACCGGAAAGTGTGAGTATTTACCAATAATGCAGTCCTATTTAGGCAAGTTCATGAAAGAAAAAAAAAAAGCTTTTTGGTTCTGGGTGCATATTATACCATTTAAGACCTCAGATCATTTATCTCTTTTTCCTCAATTTTAGTATTTCCATTCAGCTCAAAACACATTTGAATCTTTTATTCAGGTCACTTTGTACCTAATGAGGCTTAAAATATGGCTGCAGTTTCTTTAGCAAAGTTCTTCTGACTAAAAAAGAATTCATGATCTTTCTTTTGTCCTCAGTTGCTATACCTGCCTTTCCGGGACTGCCCTCGTTTTAAAGAACTAAAGGAGGAGACTCTCAAATCGACAGAATTCCAGGAGAGGTTGCATCCTTATAAGGTTAGAAAACGTGTCATTTTGTGGGGTACAGGAAAGTGAGGAGGGCCAAGACAAAGGATGAAGCCCCAGGTTCTAACAAGTGTGGGAGGAATGTGTCTGCCAGCGGCCAGTTATAGCAGTGGGTTAAAACATTTAATGAGTGTCAGTCATCACTATCTGGTCCCCTACCCTGCGTGGGGCCACAAGCCAGTAAAGAAGCCAGTCCCTTTCTGATCCTATCCCCGTGTGCCAGAAGGAACTAGATGAAAGTACATGGCTGGGTCAGAATAAATCCAAGTCTAAAATGATCTGCCTTAATGAGGCTGAGGAGCCGGGACACTGATTTCACATACAAAGGATAGTCTTTTTTATTTTATGTTTCTACTTTGCAAAATACCCCTTTTTAAGACTATGCAAAAGGTAGATATAATGCTTTGTGTATTTAAAAATAAAATTTTAAATCTCTAATACATTTACATGGTTCACAAATTTTAAAAATATAAAAAGGAATACAGTGGAAAGTCTCTTAATGACCCCACAGGTAACTGGTGGCACCATTTTCTTATATAGTCTTGCAGTTTCTTTACGCATATACAAATAAATATGAATATACTCTGGTAGTTTCCCCTTTGCTACACAAAAGGAGTATACTGTATTCACAGAGATGGACACCTTGGATTTTAACAATATACCTTAGAAATATTACTCTATCTGTACATAAAGAGTTTCCTCTTTTTTTATAACTGCATTTGAATTTGTGGATGTACCATACTTTTTTAACCAGTTTATACTGATGGACAAGTGAGTCGTTTCTAATCATTTACAGTCTATATGAGTATCTTGTGTATCTAAATAATTTCACAAGAATATTTGTGGAATGATATCCCAGAAGTAGAAATTCTGGGGAAATTTGAAATATTATCAAATTGCCCTCCAAAGAAGCTATACTAATGTCTGCCCCAGTCAACAAAGCATAGGATTGCCTGTTCCTCTACAGCCGCGCCAACAGTGTATAGACAACTTCGGGGATATTTGCCAATCTGTAGGTAAAAAAATGGTACCACTAGAAGCCTTCCCTCTAAAATCAGCAACAAGGCAAGGAAGCCCAGTATCATCACCATTAATAAAGCATTGTGCAGTAGTCTTTTTCTCTTAGGATGAGTGAGTTTAGGATATCTTTATCTAGTTAAATGCTTTTTGAATTTTCATTTGTCTTCACATTCCTTGGCCATTTAGCTTCTGGATTATTGATTTTCTGTTTTCTATTATTTTAGGAGCTTTCTCCATGTATTTTTTTTTCCTGTGACATAAATGGCATGGTTTCTATTGTCTGCCTGTTGATATTGGTTATAGTGTTTTCGCCATGTCGTCGTCTTAAGTGTGCTGATGTATTGATATATGATTTGTATATTTATAGTCATATTTAGAGAAACTTTCCTCATTCCTAGGTTTCAAAGGAATTCTATAATGTTTTATTCTAATTCCACTATATCTTCATTTTTGCGTGGATCCATTTATACTGGGGTTAGGTACAAAATTTGTATCCTGATTAAGTTTACCCCTATTAACTAATCGCCCGATCACTATTTACTGAAAAGTCCATCTCTTCCCTTTAAATATATTAAAATTCCCCCATTTATGTGGTCTGTTGCTGGAATTTTTATTCTATTCAATTATTCTTTCATTTTATTAGCCAAAACTACAATGTTGTACTTAGTAAGACTTTACACCTGCTTTAATATCTAAAAGGCTTATACCCCTCATTCTCAACTTTTCTGAGTTTTCATGGCTCTGTTTTTATTTTCTTTGTGAATTTTAGAATCAGCTTGTCTCAGTTCCAAAAACATTTTTTTCTTACTTTCTAGTGTTTTTATTGGGATCATATTGAATTTATAAATTAACTTGGAGAATTTGCAACTCTATGACATTGAGTGTTCCTTTCTAAGAACATGGTACATTTTCCTATTTGTTCTTCAAGAATTTTTTAAGGTTTTCTTCACATAGGTCTTTACATTTATCTTTAAGTTTGTTCTAAGATTAAAATATCTACAAATAACCTTGACTTACCTCTACTTTTCCAATATTTTTACCTCTGATTTCTTCTTTTTTTTTTTAAGATTTTATTTATTTATTTGACAGAGAGAGACCACAAGTAGACAGAGAGGCAGGCAGAGAGAGAGGAAGGGAAGCAGGCTCCCTGCTGAGCAGAGAGCCCGATGTGGGGCTCCATCCCTGAGATCATGACCTGAGCTGAAGGCAGAGGCTTTAACCCACTGAGCCACCCAAGTGCCCCTGATTTCTTCTTTTTTTAAAAAAAAGATTTTTATTTATTTAATTGACAGAGAGAGAGTGAGAGTACAAGTAGGGGGAGTGGCAGAAGGAGAGGGAAAAGCAGGCTCCTGGCTGAGCAGAGAGCCTGATGTGGGGCTCCATCCCAGGACCCTGAGATCATGACCTGAGCCGAAGGTAGATGCTTAACCAACTGAGCCACCCAGGTGCCCCCTACCTCTGATTTCTTTTGTGTCTTTGCCCTGGCCAGTACTTAAAGTACAGTAGGACATAAGAGCATTGACTGTGAGCATCCTCATTTTTTATTTTAGAAGTGTTTTTCTATTAAGCATGCTGGCTTTAGGACCAAATAGAGATATTTGTACCAAATTAAGGAACTAACCATCCTTCCTATTTTATTGATTGTTTTGACCAATACTTGTGTTTAACTTTTTGAAAAATTCAGCCCACAAAGGGCTCCATGATCAGCAGGGAGTCTCCTTCTCTCTCCCTCTCCCTCTGCCCCCTCTGCACCATCCCCCCACCATGCCCATGAACGGTCTCCCTCTCTCTCAAATAAATAAATAAATCATATATGTGTGTGTGTGTGTGTGTGTGTGTGTGTGTGTGTGTGTGTGTGTGTGTTATCAAGTTATTTTTCTCCTTGGATCAATTACTAAGATGAATTATATTCTTAGATTTGCTCTAATGAGCCATCTTTACATGTCTAGGCTCAAGCCCCTTTCTTCGGATATCGAATTATTTGTTAATATTTTACTCAGAGCTTTTGCATTCATATTCAAAGTACCATTGGACTACAGTTTTCTTTCCTGGCCAGTCTTTTTGTCAATGTCAGTGTTGCACTTAGTTCTTAAAAATGTTTTGGAAGTTTTCTTTTTTTTTCCTTTCTCTACACTCTATAACAGTTAAAATAAGCATTGGAATAACTTGCTCCTGAAAGTCTTGGTAGAATTTCTCTGTAAAGTCATCTGGCCCTGGAGTTTTTGTTTCATTTGGCTTGGCTTGGGGATGGGGGAGGAGATCTTTAGTATATTTATTTTATGGATATCTGTTTGGGTTAATATTGGCAAATTATATTTTCTTAGCAAATGTACCCACCAAATAATACCTCCCACAAGGATTCCCAGAAATTGCTGCCAAAGTCACCAGGCAGATAGCTGAGTAGTGGGTCTCGTGACCATGACAATCCAAGAATAATACAGTAGAGAAATGTTTACATCCCACCCAAATTTCAAATTTATAGCCAAATAGCGGGTCCAGTTTCTGTGGTATATTCCTGAGGTGCTCTGGCCTAAGAAATGCTTTCCTTTCTCACCTTGACTTGTCATTTTTATGTGAGTTCTACTTCACCTACTTCCCCAAAAATTTTGAGGGAGTACACTTGGCCTGATTCCGGGACAACCCAGGAACACGTGGCAGTAAGCCAGCATGCACCCATACTTTTAATGTAATCATGAGATGCTCAGTTAGTGTTCATGAAATTGTTTGGGTTCATATTACCACAGCCGATGTTCCTGGTGCACGTTTATGTGAAGAACAGTGTTTTCAGTGGGGGCAGATTTGCCCCAAAGGGAACCTTGGCAATGTTTGGAGACTCTTCGGTTGTCCCAACTGAGGGATTAGGGATGATGGTAACCATCTGGTTGGTGAGAGGCCAGGCAGACAGCCAAACACCCTACAAAGCCAGGGCACCCTCCACAACAGCCAAATAGCCGTAATGCTGAGACTGACTGACTCTAATGCAGAAATGTTTTCTCTGTCCATGTGTGTTTCAGGATTTTATAGAAACCCTGCCAACATTTACAGGATACCATACCCAGGACCTTTTTGGAATGTGGACTAAAGTCTACGACCCTTTATTTTGTGAGGTAAAAGAAAAAATATCAAAGATTAACTTGCAGTCTGATTTTTTTACTTATTCCTATTTTGAAACAGATAAATACACTTTCTTACACTTTTTGGCAGATATATTATGCTTCCTTTGACATTGAAACATAATTCAAGACTTCTTTATATTAAATTGAAAACTCTAACTTTTTCTCTCCATTTATGTTTTCACCCTTTAGAAAACTGCAGGCAAAATTGCTTTTCTTTTGTCTTGCCATTTACTTATTTTTCAGTCCCTCAGGAATGCTGGGCTCCTGTCACGGATTTTAATGAAAAAAGCAATATTATTATAAGACAGAGAAAAAAAAAAAGTACCTGATTTCTGGATATAAAAATAAGCAAGACAACTTTAAGCCAGGCTATTGAAATTGATTTGTTGGGAATCTCTTCCTTGCTGTACCTGCATATGAAATACTACATCAATTACCGTTGGGGTTTTTAAGGCTACTTGGTATTTTTCACTCACTATGCACCATCTACTGGCCTAAAAGGGTACTCCATAATCCTGTTTTTCCCACCGGGTTTACTGAATCCTGGGGCAAAATTCTGACTACCCATAGGACTGATAACCACCTGTGATCTTGAGATCATCGTGAGGGCCCGGGAACCAGCAACTACCTTCATGGTTCCGTGTCAGTAACAAATGACACCGTTTGCCCCCTCCACAACAGAGTTTATGGACCTTCACATGACCTTCCTGATAGTTTCACTATATCATTAGCATCTGTTTCAAGGAAGGTTTACTAGCCTTATCAAAGACTCTTCAGGGGCGCCTGGGTGGCTAGTCAGTTAAGCATCTGATGCTTGGTTTAGGCTCAGGTCATGATCTCAGGGTCATGAGACAGAGCCCTATGTCCGGCTCTGTCCTGGGTATAGAGCCTGCTTAGGATTCTTTCTCTTCCTCTGCTCCTCCCCACCCCAAATAAACAAATAAATCTTTAAAAAAAAAAAAAAAAAGACTCTTCAGTGGACATAAGAGCCCACATTTTGGCTTAAGTCTTGATTTTTTTTCTTCCTTACTACAGGTTGATCTGAGCTGTTCTGTGATGTGGCCATGGTGCTTGATTTCCTCTTCACTTCTCTCCCACTTCTTTCCTCACTAGACACTCCACTTTCATTTCTTTCAAGTACTCTCTCTCTCTCAATCCTACCTTTGAATGTGGGAGATTCTTAATGAACTTTTCATAGCAAGTAATAAATATTGGCAGGAAGTCTACACCAGCTCTGCTATCCATCTTATTCATCCATTTAATACATATTCACCAAAAGCCTACTGTGTGTATGGTTCACGTTCCCCAGGAGTGAGTAAACTGAAAGCTGATGGGAGTAGAGGGTCTGGTACTGAAGGCTCCAGAAATATACTGCCTCTCCCAGCTGTCCTCTCAGGTTTGACAGAAATATCATCTAACACTGTCAGTGTTACGTTCCCCACAGGTTCATAGATTTCTAAACCTTTCATAAAGGAATGAGGTATATTCTTGCCCTACCTTACCCTTACTCTGCAAAATAGAAATCCTCCTTTGGACCCAGAGTTCAGCCAAAACCTATGGAATTCATAGGAGGGAGCAAATCAGTCTCTGTGAATTTCCCTTCTGAAAATCAATACCACTACATACGGCAAAGTAAAGTTTTCCTTGAGAGAAATGGCTGGTTAAGAAAGGCTAGACCCAGCAGTTCTTACGGGGCAAAGAGGACAAAAGAGCCAACAAATAAAAATACACATTTTCTTCCCTTTTTCTTTGCTACAGAGTATTCACAACTTCACTCTACCCTCGTGGGCCACAGAGGACACCATGATTAAGTTGAAAGAATTATCAGAATTATCTATCCTGTCCATGTATGGAATTCACAAGCAGAAAGAGAAATCTAGACTGCAGGGGGGTAAGTATATAAAAAAGTGAAAGGACTATACTAGATCTGTGGTTGAGTGATTGGGGTCTGAGTGCTGTCCCACCAGTAATCCGCTATGTGACCTTGGACTAGTCACTTTATCACTCCTGCACTAGTTTCCGTTCTGCAAAATGGGGATAATAATGATACCTCCTCACAGGTAGTAAGGATTAAAATAAATGTATATATTCAAAAAGTTTGGGACAAACAGTACCTGGTACTTAATACACTGTCACTAAACACTATGTGTTTTTATAGTCATTAATATTGCCCAATCTGAGCCTTGGTTTTCCCATCTGGAAATGAAAGCTTTGCCCTAAAGCTAAATGGTACTTTCATGCTTTCCAAATCAAACAATGAAAGATTTTGTATCTAAGCCCATGAAAAGCAATTGTGTCTGGTGGCCTATAGGATGAATTTTTCAAGTGGGAAGTATGATAAAAAAGGGGCCTGTTTTCCTGAGGTCCTTGATGGTAGCCATTGCTAAAGTTAATAAGACCTATTTTCCAGACTAATTATGTTACATAGATTAATTGACATTAATTGCAATTGACAAATTAATGACACAGCTTAAATTTTTCCATTGACGTTGAAAGGCATTTACTTCTCAGTGATGCCTCCTTTCAGCTGTATTTGGCCTTTCCTAGCATAGAACATCCTATCAGAATGAAAGTAGACCTAGGCAAAAGGCTGCCAAGCCTTTATAATCAGGATAGCTGGGTGGAAGAAAGAAGGTAGAGCCAGGACAGTAAGAGATGCTGATGCCTTGAGGTCGGTTGGGCGGCAGGCCAAGACACCAAAGGTGGCATCAGACATAGGTGTAACTAGACCTTAAAAGTGAGGAGGGAGAGCAAGAGAAGGTCCATTATGTCAGGTTAACAGTGAAGAAATTCTAAGCCACAGGAGGTGTTCTAGACAGTTTGAGAAAAACAGAGCAATCCCATCAAGACTCCAACCATCGCCAGATCCTATTCACTGTGGGGCCACATCCAGTTTAGCAGGGCCCCAGGAGAAGACTTAGAGTCAAGGCATCTTGGCTGTTGGACCAACTGGGCAGGTGTTCAGTCAGGACTATGTGTAGGGACCTGGCCCAGGCAGCAGCCCTGTCTGATGTGCAAACAAGGAAGGAGGCAAAGGGTGGCTGTTGGGCCCCATTGGCTCCATATATACCAGGTCTTACTCCTGAACCCCCAGTACCACCCCTGGTACCACCCAATCCCAAGTCACATCAATGGTGGAGACAGGGCTCTTGATTGAGTTCCCCCAACTAGTCACAATGGGCTGAGGTGTTCAGCCCCTCACTATTCGACATGCAGGCCAGGGGGCAGCAGCAGCAACTGCATCAGCAAGCCTCTGGTTGGAAATGCAGGATCCTCAGGCTCCACCCCAGACCGGAGGGATCAGAATCTGCCTTCTCCCGAAATCCCTAGGCACCTCACGAAACATGAAAATTCAGAAGCACTTCTCTCAATGCAAGAAATGCTGAAGACATGGGCAGGGGAAGCCAGACAGAAACCGAGAATAGCCTAATAATAGATGCAGGCGTCTGTATAGGGAGAAAAACTGGGCGTTTTCCTCACACTTTGTTCACGTTTCTTCTTGTTTTCCTTTGACTACTAGACATGGCATTTCAGGGAGGTCACTTCCTGGCTCAATTCGGGTTTCCCCTCTGATGAGTGTATTAAACTAGATCCTGTCTGTTTAGAGTCCTTCCCTCAGGTGTTCTTTTGGTTTCGGACTTCAAAGGCTGGTATTGGTGTGAACACACCTGTCCTGTTCTCTGGAGAAGTCCAGGCTATTGACTGGCCAGGAAATCGTTTCCTGAGTGATTCCTGCCAAAACCCGAGTTCGGCCTATTGTTTGGATCTGGCTAGGCAAGGGAGATTTGTCAGCTGCGTGCTTGTTGGATGATGAGGCGGCTAAACACAATCCTACAGAGAAAACATGTATTGTCTGGGTGACACAGAGTCACACAGGAACATCAGGACTTTGACTGGCATCTTCCCATCTTTGTCGAAACTTTTGTTCCATCAGTTGGTTTTAGGGATGCCACAATTTGGTACTCTGTACTCCTCTACCCACCTTCTTCTACACACACACACACACACACACACACACACACCACAAAAATTCCTACGATTCGTGTAGGAATTTTGAATATATGGCTGGTCCTATCTGTATTAAGACAAACATCTCCTCGCTCCGTGCTGCAGGTTGGTGTACGCTAAAGCCTGCAAGCCAAATCCAGCCTCTGCCTATTTTTTATAAGTAAAATGTGACTGAAACTCAGCCATACTCATTAGGTAGTGCTATGGCTGTTTTGGGGCTTCCCCCTGAAAGGGAAGAGTTATGGCCAACCGTAGGGTCTCAGAACCTAAAACATTGACTGTGTGGTCCTTCACAGAAAGTGTGCCAGCCCCTGCTGTAGCTCAAGAGTGTGGGAAGGGAAGTTTGTGTCTTCCACTCAGTGATACTTCGTCGAGTGTAGCAGTCACCAGATGATGCAACTGGGAACTCAGAAGTTAGCCTGTGCTACAGGGTAGCCTAAGGATTAAAAGATGCTGGGTTCAGAGAAGTTCAGCCCCTCTGTGCACATGGTGTGGAATCTTGAACAAGTTGCTGAATGTCTCTGATCCTCAGTGTCCCCTCCCATGAACACAATCATTGGCATGCCAGAGCCTGGGGGAAACTGTGGTAGTTACCCCCAGGTTCTTCTGGGGCGAGATGGACCATCACCCCAGAACCAAGAGCTGGTATCATATCCCATTATTGACACCGATGGCTGCTGCAGAGGCACCTGCCAAAGTCAGGTTGCTGATAGGTGATGGTATTGTCCCTAAAGGATGCTGAGAAAGCCACCTTCTCTGAAGCAGAGCGATACAGACTTGTTGGAGATATGGCTTCCTGCTTCTTCCATTCCTAGTCGGGGGGTGTCCAGAATCTACAGAGAGAGCAGACTGCCTCCCTTCCTAATTAGCCCTTTATGGTGCCTCTTGGTAGACAGATGAATAAACAGTCTCTTTGTACTATTTTATGAGCTTTTTGAGGGCAGGCATCTGATTCACCTAGCATAGCATCTGACCTGTGGTAGCTGCTCAGTGTGTTGGCTGAGTGGACCACAGAGTCTGGAATGACAGTCTGTTAACATCAACGCCCTGCTCTTTACAGAAACAAACCCGTCATTCTGGAGCCAGGAGAGTACACATGTAGTAAAGAAACCACCCAGGGGGGTGGGGGAGGGGTGGCACAGTGGGTTGAGTTCAGCTCTTGGTTTTGGCTTGTGATCTCCGGGTCATGGGATTGAGCCCCACATCCGGCTCCACATTCAGGGTGGAGTCTGTTTCAGACTCTCTCTCTCTCTCTCCCTCTTCCTCTGCCCCTCCTTCCTGTGCTCTCTCTCTCTCTCTCTCTCTCTCAAATAAATTAACAAATCTTTATGAAACACCAGAGATATAAGGAGTCTTCCAGTGATGGTTGTGGAAATCCCTGGGGCACCATGTCCTCAAGCCAGGACCTAGCACCCCAAGATACCCCTCAGCCTTCAGTGTCTGCAAAGAGGATGGAGACTCAGAGTGGTGTTCCTGGTGAGGAACAACAAATATGAGGGCGAGAACTCTCTTCTAGGGAGCCCTCAGATGGAAGATGCTGGCTGCCCTCAAATAGTAATCCCCGGGGTCACCTGGAGAAATGGTCCACAGAAAATATTCCGTGACCTGTACAGACATCCAGAGAGCTGCTTTCTCCCATGGCCTCCCACAGGTTTGACTACCTCAGAGTAGTCAAAGAGGGATGCCAGGTGCACAGAGTTGTGCAAGAGGGATGAAGACAAAGTAGATAGATTGTCTACAAAATAAATGCCAAGCTGTCATTTCAGGGCTGCCCTAGAGAAAAGCTCCAGCTAGCAACTGTCTGAAAAATGCCATTTGTAATTCCTTCCAAGTTCCTCAACCTCCTTTCTCAAGTTTGGACAAAATCTGGGGATAGTAAGGTCCTCCTGTGCGAATCCAACTCTCCTTGCCCAGCCTGCATATGAGTCACTGTATGTTGCTGGGCCTTAGTTTTCTCACTATGAATGGGGAACAGAAGTCAGAATTCAGTAAAATAACATAAAGCACACAGTAGGTGCTCAACCAGAGTTCTTTCTTTTCCTCTCTTAAGTCCTGAGACTCATGGTAGGGAGAATCGTGAAGTAGGAATTAACAAAATGTTTAAGCCCATGTTTGGTTCAGCTCTTTTGTTGGTCTGTCTTTTTGAAGGTGTCCTGGTCCGTGAGATCCTCAAACACATGAAGAGTGCAACTCAGCCATCGAACCACAGAAAACTCATCATGTATTCCGCAGTAAGTGTTTTCACCTCCACTCAATAGCCATCTGTTCAGGCAGTAATCTCTTTAAGGAGGGAGCCTCATTTTCTTCATCGTCACCTCCCTTTTGCCCAATAGATGGTAGACATTTTAGATATTGATTCTTCAGCTCTCCTAAATATGTGTCTATATGACCACCTGCGTGGTTCGCATTTTAAAATTTTTTTTAATTTTAATTTCAAAATTTGATACATAATTCTGGCCCTTGAGGAGTTTACAATCCAGGACTGACAAAAAGACATAAACACCCTACAAAGCAGTATAGAAATGCAGTGCAAGCAAGTGCCTTGGTGGCATGGAGAAGGGAAGCATCCCTTCTGTTCCAAACTAAAAGCAGAGCAGGAACGGGATGCGGTGATGAATGGGATGTCGGCGGGGAGTAAGGATGTGGAGGGAAAACCACAGGTGAAGGCTATGTTTCAAGCCTCCAGGACTGGAAGGAGGGTGGAGCCATTAACAGAGGTGCTCTTGGGCCGGGGGGATGTAGCAATTTAGACAGCTGGGTTTGAAATGCCAGGGGGCGCCCAAATAGAAACTCCAAGAGACAAAGGGACTAGAAGAGAGAAGGGGGGAAGAGAGCTGCAACATGAAGTTAGAGCTACATTGGATGCAGAAAGAAGACTTCAGTCTTAGGAGCAGGAGCCAGGGAAAGAGGCACTGATCAGGGAGTTGGGGCGGGGAGGTGGGGAATTCAAGGGGTGCATTGAGCACTGAGATGGCTGTCCATGGAGTCTGCAATGAGTCCTGCAATCAGGACACATAGTATGGGAATTCAGCTTCCCACCTACTTCTTTATGACAGAGGATTTCTCAGATGTGATTTGGCTGGAGAAAGCCACGTTTTCATTCTGCAGGAAGATGGAAGAAGTGACTCCAGATACGGGGAAGTCTGTTTATCATCAAAGGTTCTGAGTGGTGTAAGACAAAAGCTCATGGATTGAACAGAATGTAGTCCTTCCTGGAGAGGGGCTTCCTGAAACCAGTCCGTTCTGCCAGTTTCTTTAGTTTCTCATCTGGTTTCCTGTTCTAATTGGTGTGACTTCTTGCAAGTTATAATTCCATAACTAGTTCCTTGTCCAGGAAATCAGTTCTAAGCCCTTTTTAATATGTGTACACTGCCATATAGTTTAGGCACCCAAATGTTATGCCCATTTTGTAGATACAGATGCTAAGGACTTTCAAAGATTATTAAGTTAATTAGTGGCAAAACTGGGACTGAAAACCAGCCCCCTGTGCCCTCCAGCCACTCGGGGATAAACAATTAACAATTACTTTTGAGCTATGCTCTCTATTTCCTTACATTTTGACCTCTCTAACATTTATAACCTTATATATTCTTCCCCAGCTTTACTTTTTTTAAGACTTTTTAAATTCATTTATTTGAGAGAGAGAGCACAAGCAGGAGGAGAGGCCGAGGGAGAAGCAGATTACCCACTGAGCAGGGAGCCTGACATGGGATTCAATCCCAGGACCCTGAGATCATGACCTGAGCTAAAGGCAGACACTTAAACAACCGAGCCACCCAGGCATCCCTCTTCTCCAACTTTAAAATCAGATTATTCTAATCTGTAGAAGAAATATAATCTAGCACTAATATGTTCCAAAATGTTTTAAAATTTAATGAAACAAGCTAGAACCGGGATGTTCCACTGGGGAAAAGCATGGTACAAAACCTGAACACCAGACTCAAGTTTACTTTCTTCCATTTTGGGGTTATATGACATCAAGCAAGTTACTTAATTTATCTGGGCCTTTTTTTTTTTTTAAGATTTCATTTATTTATTTAATAGAGAAAGGGATAGAGAGGGAACACAAGCAGGGGGAGTGGTGGAGAGAGAAGCAGGCCCCCTGCTGAGCAGGGAGCCTGATGCGGGGCTCAATCCCAGGACCCTGGGATCATGACCTGAGCCCAAGGCAGATGCTAACGACTGAGCCACCTAGGTGCCCCCTGTTTGTTCATCTTTTTAATGGGAATGTACTGCCTAGCACACAACAGATGCTCCACCAAAATTAGCCCTTCCCCTCTCTACCATGGGGGTATGACAAATTTAAGTGATTCAGAAACCATCATGGTTCTCTACAAGTGCTTAGTACCACCTGTGGAATGTACATCTGAACCAAAGGTAAAGATGGAAAATGATTTGCTTCAAATTCCCACAGCATGACACTACCGTGAGTGGCCTACAGATGGCACTAGATGTTTACAATGGAATCCTTCCTCCCTATGCTTCATGCCACATAATGGAATTGTATCTTGAGAAGGGGTAAGTATCTAAGAGGTGCTTTTCACACTTAATACCACTGGACCCCAGGGGTTTTATTATTATTATTATTATTATTATTATTATTATTATTATTGTATTGTATTAAAAATTTTCTTAAAATATTTAATTTTCAATTAAGTACGTAAAAAATTTAACTACCTAAAAAAATGTATACTATGCAAAATAATTCCCTAAGTTAAAAATATTGCTATTTTTCCACTTTCAAATTTCATGAAACAATTTTATCCAAACTCTTTGTATGCATCTTAACTTGTGTCTTCATCAGTAGAGCCAATTTTGAGTCCCCTAAAACTGTTTTACAGATATATTAACAGGGGCGTCTGGGTGGTTCAGTCCATCAAACGTCTGCCTTAGCTCAGGTCATGATCCCAGGGTCCTAGAATTGACCCCCACAACTGGCTTTTGCTCAGCACGAAACTGCTTCTCCCTCTCCTCCCCGCTTGTGCTCTGTCTCTTGCAATCTCTGTCACTGTCTCTTTCTCTCAAATAAATAAATAAAATCTTTTTTTAAAAACAGATATATTAACTAATAAGGGTAATTTTGGCTACTGTACAAATGAACCTCAGATTCTCAGAGGCCTATCCCAATGGACATTTCTTTCTCACTCATCTAATGCTCCAACAGTGATGTCCGTGGTTGGTTGCAGCACCTGGGTGGCTCAGTCAGTTAAGTATCAACTCTTGATTTTGGCTGAGGTCATGATCTCAGGGTCATGATCTTAGAGTCATGACATCAAGCCACACCTCAAACTTAGCACTGGGCATGGAGACTGCTTAAGATTCTCTTTTCCTTTCCTCCTCCCCCTCTCCCCCTAAAAAAAGAAAGAGAGAGAGAGAGATGACCCGACCCATTAGGAGGTGACTCAATCATACTGTGATTTGGGGACCCAGGGCTCTATCTTTTTAGGACCTATAGTAAGGCCATAACTCCCATAGGTACACTAGTGATTCCTCTTTGATGGATTTGGGCAAAGTAAATTGAAAGGGTCCACCATTTTAAATGCCATTAAGAACTTTCATGATTCAGGAGAAGATGTCAAAATATCAACATTAACAGAAGTTTGGAGGAAGTTGATTCCAAAGCCCTCACAGATGACTTAGAGGGATTTAAGACTTCAATGCAGGGGCACCTGGGTGGCTCAGTGGGTTAAAGCCTCTGCCTTCGGCTCAGGTCATGATCCCGGGGTCCTGGGATCGAGCCCCACATAGGGCTCTCTGCTAGGCGGGGAGCCTGCTTCCCTTCCTCTCTCTCTGCCTACTTGTGATCTCTCTCTCTCTCTCTGTCAAATAAAATAAAACAAAATCTTAAAAAAAAAAAAACTTAAAAAAAAAAAAAGACTTCAATGCATATGTGGTAGAAACAGCGAGAGAACTAGAATTAGAGGCAGAGCCTGAAGATGGGACTGGACTGCTGCAATCTCATGACCAAACTAACGGGTGAGGAGTTGCTTCTTACGGATGGGCAAAGAGGGTGGTTTCTTGAGATGGAAACTATGCCTGCTGAAGATGCTGGGAACATTGTTGAAATGACAAAGGATTGAGAATATCACATAAACTCAGTTGATGAAGCAGCAGCAGGGTTTGAGGGCAAGGACTCTAATTTTGAAAGAAGTTCTACTGTGGGTAAAATGCTCACAAACAGTATCACATGCTGCAGAGAGATGGTTGGTGAAAGGAAGGGTCAATCAATGTGGCAGACTTCACTGTTGCCTTATTTTAAGAAATTGCCCCAGTTACCCCAGCCTTTGGCAACCACCACCCTACTGTCAGAGGCCATCAACACTGAGGCAAGACCCTCTACCAGCAAGAAGATTACAACTCGCTGCAAGCTCAGAAGATGGTTAGCATTTTTTTTTAGCAATAAAGTATTCTTAATTAACTTATACACATTTTTTAGGTATAATGCTATTGCACACTTAATACACTACCGTGTAGTATAAACATAACTTTTGTATGCACTGGGAAACCAGATAATTGATTTGATTCACTGTATGATAATATTTGCTTTATTGTGGTGGTCTGAAACCAAACCCACAGCATCTCCAAGGAATGCGTCTAGTTGCTTGGTCTCACCTACATGCAAAGGAGTCTGGGAAATGTAGTCCCTTTTCAGCCGTAACTCTAGTATGTGAAAAGAGATTCATGAACTTTGATCAACTATTAGTCATCTTTGCCATATCATCTTGAGATAAAAGATGCTGTCACTGGGAAAATCATTTCAGGGTATAAGTAGTCATTCACATAATATTGGGAAGTTTTAAAAAACATATCTCTAGGGATGCCTGGGTGGCTCAGTCTGTTAAACGGCTGCCTTTGGCTCAGGTCATGATCCCAGGGTCTTGGGACTGAGTCCCACATCAGGCTCCATGCTTGGCAGTGGTTAGCCTGCTTCTCCCTCTGCCTGTGCTCCCCCTGTTCATGCTCTCTCCCTCCCTCTCTCTGACAAATAAGTAAATAAATCCTAATATATATATATATATATATATATAGAGAGAGAGAGAGAGAGAGAGAGAATATATATATAAAATATATACACACACACACACATATATACATACATATACTTGTGGTTACTACTGGTTATGTGGCTTTCAAAAGTGAAATTTTTTTAATGATTTATTTATTCATTTTAGAGACAGAGCACAAGCAGGAGGGGCAGAGGGAGAGAGAGAGAATCTCAAGCAGACTTCGCATCTAGCAAAGAGCCCGACTCGGGCCTCAGTCCCCTGACCATGAGATCATGACCTGAGCCGAAACCAAGAGTCAGGTGCTTAAAAACAACTGTACCACCCAGGCACCCCTGAAAGTGATATTTTAAAAGGCTTATTTATAAAAACACCCAACAGCTGCAGTTGTGAGGTTACTACCCCAAGAATGAGCACTAAATCCTACCTGAGCTTCTTTTCTGCCTCTTTGGCAAATGACTCCGTAGGCTCTCAAAGTAGTTTTATAAGGCTGGCATACACCTTGTTTTTTCAAATAAAGTATCGAATATGAGGGAGTATAAGGACTTAGGTATACACCCACACCCTCTCTCTGAGGTATAATTTTTACAAAGTCTGAATGTGTATTTAATTAAGCACATATGTTAAATATTGCTCAGTTCCGTGTTTATTGCCTGAATAAGGAGAGCAGAGATACCTTTGTTCAGGAGAAAACTTAAAAGAAATCCTGAGAAGAGAAGAGAGAAAATGAAGTAAATCAGAATCACGAAGGGGAGAGAATAAGAGAAAGAAAACCCAATATCCCACCTGCTCCCCACTTCTTACTCAGTCTCTTCAGATCACCCCAATTCCCCCAACCATCTCCTCTCAGCTCCCTCTCCAGTGAAGCCTCCTGGTCCCCACCTCTTTTGCCCCTGGTTATCTGACAAACCAGCCCTCCCATTTCCACCCTCTGGATCTGGCCCACCTGCATCAATCTACCCATTCTCACACCTAAGTTAGCTAATACCCACTCATTCCTGTAAATTCTTCCCCTCTTAACCTGTGTCTTCTTAACTTTTTTTTTTTTTTTAAGATCTTATTTATTTGAGAAAAAGAGCACATGGTGGGGAGGGGCAGAGGGAGAAGCAGACTCCTCGCTGAGCAGGGAGCCCAATGCGAAACTTGATCCCAGAACCCTGGGATCATGACCCAAGCCAAAGGCAGATGCTTAACCGACTGAGCCACCCAGAAGCCCCTAACTTCTTAACTACAGCTGACATATTATGGGCCAGGTGGAAAATAATTCAATGGCAATTCAACAACAAAGGGCTAACTACTCTGTCGTCTACCTTCCTCCACCAGGGAGTACTTTGTAGAGATGTACTACCGGAATGAGACACGGCACGAGCCATATCCCCTCACGCTGCCAGGCTGCACTCCCAGCTGTCCTCTGACGGAGTTTGCTAAGCTGGTTGCTCCTGTGATCCCCCAAGACTGGTCCACGGAGTGTATGACCGCAAGCAATGACCAAGGTACTGGGGATGTTATGAGTTAGTGTGTCTGCAGAGCTCTGCAGAAAAGGCAGAATACCCTTTCTTCAGGCAGACGTGGCTTTGAGAATATGACTCGGCCATCACCCCCAGATTTGAGGGAAATGGGTTTGGGGTGATAATTTGTCTGTTTCAGGGGCCCCCAACTTCATTCAACTCCTACCTCTCTCCCTGCCCCCCCTTGCCTAAACCTTGACTTGGTTTTTCCAGTGTTAATCGAAAAGGGTATCATGTCAAAATAGAATCAGAGATTAAACTTAGGTCAAAGTTCATGTGTCTGCCATGAGCTATATGATTGGCCACACAGTTTTGGGGTCTTTTTTTAAGAACTCCCAGCTATCACTTGAGTGGGATTAAATGAGGTTGTTCTTTAAGTGTCTGAAGTGAAACAGATTTCAAACAAAATCCATAATCTAGAGTGAGAGCAAGGAAAGGAAAAAGTTGATCCTAGGCAGATGGGCAAAGGACCAACTTACCTATTGGTTCCGGCCTTCTCACAAGGAAAGGCAGAGAAATGAATACAGTGGAGCCATCTACAGAAATCGTCTACACTGGGAAGCTGGCCCTATCTTTTTCTATTTATGTTAAAACATATGGGGTAGAAAAGCTGAAAAGTAAATACCTCTTTGTATCCTTTAGCCCTGGAAAATCCACGTTACTTTTGAAGAAACCAAAAGCAAACTTGCCAGAAAACTTTGTTGTATATAATATATATGGCAGCTCTTGGAGCACAGACATCCTAGCAAATAAGTAATATTATTTAGGCACACAACACACCAGAGATGAGAACCCTGCGTGGGTGGTTTCCCTTGAAGATGGTAAGAGATGCTGACTCTGGAGTTGATTTAAGAGAAAAAGTACGATGACACGTATCAAACTGGAATAAAATTATAAATGTGAGAATGTTCTAAGTGCCTCCAAGACCAAAACTTACTGGAATGTTGAAAGTATGGCTGGGTGATAGCTGTCCTGAGCACAAGAGGGATGTGTAAGGCTTTGATCCTGGGATCTTCAGAAAACCTAAGCAAGCTCACGGGTCCTTCGGAAATGATTCACTCTGCAAGAAGAACTCATGTACCAATGACACTCTTTAGACTCGTGTAGATTTCCTGGGTTGCAGGTGCAACACATCTAGAGAACACCGTGCCACGTGACCATGACAGCTAAAGATGAAACCATTTCTAGAGATGGTATCTGCTGGATGCCAGAGTCCAGAGCAGAGCCATTCCCTCGCCTAGTGGGTTATGCGATGACTGACATGAGACATTGGTTCATATATTTATTTGTATTATTTTTTCCCAAGTAAATATTTGTCCCCAGCAGTACAATCTAGTTACCCTTCCCTCCCCGTGCATGTAACTTCCCCCCAGCAGTAAGCCAAATGTAAAATAGTGAATAAAGTCGCTAGTAGGGAGTTCAGAACATTACTGTTATGATGAATTGTGAAAAGTGTGTATGTGTTAAATTAGAATGAAATCCAAGAAGGACTGATTTGAGGGGCTCTATTTTTGTTTGGGGATTTTATCTTAATGTAACTGGGAGGTAAATATTAATGGAAAGTAAAAATGATTTTGACTCACTTGGATGAATATTTTACATTGAAAATGTACTAAGTTTGGACTTTACTGCTTCAGAAAAAGGCTAAGCTGATGGATGGCTCTGCTTCATCTGTTAAGGGGGAACTTGCAAGAAAACACCCTGGGAAAATGCATAATGTAGCGGGGAAGCAAAAAGATACATATTACACAAGGGTTGTGTCTTATGACTACAAGGGCTGCTAGGGGACGAGAGTTAACTGAATTCAGAGGGACAGAAGCAGTCAGGAATTGGCAGCCAAGGCAACCTGTAGGAGGTAACAGCTGTACCATCTGAAATCAGTTTGGATGGAGATTTCTAATGGTGTGGTACAAGGTACTAGAAAGCCATTTATTAAATGTCTTAGTGGCTCGAACGTGGAAAGGGTAGGTGAGTTATTCAGCAGAAGATTCTGGGTCCAAGGAGATTCCCACATGTAATCCCACAGGTAATCAAGGGGCCAATTCTAATAAGATAAAATATCATCTCCACAAGAGCAAGGATCTTTATCTGTTGTGTTCTCCCTTATATCTGTCCTCAGAAATACCTGTGTCTGACATGGATTAGCACTCAATAAATATTTGTTCCAGGAATGTATAAATTACTTATCTTTCCTCCCTGAACCTACTGTCTCTATCTTGATTTGCATCAATACCCAGTAACCTGGGAGTTAACTTTTGATCCGAACATCTCCTTTATTCTCCATAGCTGATCTGTCCCCTCTTCTTACCATACCTATCTGTAGAGTGTTTATAAAACTCTTTTCCTCAAGACACCAGTGTCAGGGCGTCTGGGTGGCTCAGTCGATTAAGCGTCTGCCTTCAGCTCAGGTCATGATCCCAGGGTTCTGGGATCGAGGCCCATGTCAGGCTCCCTGCTCAGCATGGAGTCTGCTTCTCCCTCTGCTCCTCCACCCTCATGCTCTCTCTCGCACACCAGGATCAACAACTTAATATTCAAATAGAGTGGAACTAATTACAAAATATGTTAATAAAGAGAAAACTTAGGGATTGTTGTACTGGAGCCAATACCTACCAACCTCAAGAGCACCACGTGCACATCTTTCCCGACTCTGAACTCAAAGACTTGACTTTGGCAGTGTGAAATTGGTCATGGTGTCCTAGCAGGAGCATTTTCACCACAGAAATCAGCATATGCCACAAATTAGAGTTTTGTTTCTTGTGGTTTTGATGCAGTTTATTAGCACGCCACTGGCTTTAGCTCATAGAGAGCTTGTTAAGAGTCTATAACATAAGGTGGTCTCCAACAAGATGAATTCAAAATCTGAACTCCTTGAAGGAAAAACATTTAGATTTGTTCCATGTGGTCTCAAAGAGTGATGCTTGGGGCAGCAGGTAAAAATTTCAGAAAGACAGACTGTGATCAGCGTGGGGAAATTGCTGGAACAGAAAGTCCTATTTGCCTTGACAGAGACACCATTAAGCAGGCCAAAGTATAAGAGGTTATAGGTATTGAGTGATTTCTTAGTAGGGCCACAAAATTTAGCAAATAAAAGTACAGGGTGCCCAGATACATTTGAATAATAGTTTTAACTACTGGATTTTTATATTATATTGGGGGGAAATAAAGATGACTACAGAATATTTAGGGTATCCTGAGAAAGCCAGTACGGAAAGCAGGACAGGGGCGCCTGGGTGGCTGAGTGGGTTAAAGCCTCTGCCTTCAGCTCAGGTCATGATCCCAGGGTCCTGGGATCCAGCCCCATATTGGGGGGTGGGGGGCGGTCTCTGCTCAGCAGGGAGCCTGCTTCACTTTCTCTCTCTGCTGCCTCTCTGCCTACTTGTGATCTCTGTCTGGCAAATAAATAAATAAAATCTTTTTTTTTTTTAAAGATTTTATTTATTTATTTGTCAGAGAGAGAGAGGGAGAGAGAGCGAGCACAGGCAGACAGAATGTATCAAGTTATTTTTCTCCTTGGATCAATTACTAAGATGAATTATATTCTTAGATTTGCTCTAATGAGCCATCTTTACATGTCTAGGCTCAAGCCCCTTTCTTCGGATATCGAATTATTTGTTAATATTTTACTCAGAGCTTTTGCATTCATATTCAAAGTACCATTGGACTACAGTTTTCTTTCCTGGCCAGTCTTTTTGTCAATGTCAGTGTTGCACTTAGTTCTTAAAAATGTTTTGGAAGTTTTCTTTTTTTTTCCTTTCTCTACACTCTATAACAGTTAAAATAAGCATTGGAATAACTTGCTCCTGAAAGTCTTGGTAGAATTTCTCTGTAAAGTCATCTGGCCCTGGAGTTTTTGTTTCATTTGGCTTGGCTTGGGGATGGGGGAGGAGATCTTTAGTATATTTATTTTATGGATATCTGTTTGGGTTAATATTGGCAAATTATATTTTCTTAGCAAATGTACCCACCAAATAATACCTCCCACAAGGATTCCCAGAAATTGCTGCCAAAGTCACCAGGCAGATAGCTGAGTAGTGGGTCTCGTGACCATGACAATCCAAGAATAATACAGTAGAGAAATGTTTACATCCCACCCAAATTTCAAATTTATAGCCAAATAGCGGGTCCAGTTTCTGTGGTATATTCCTGAGGTGCTCTGGCCTAAGAAATGCTTTCCTTTCTCACCTTGACTTGTCATTTTTATGTGAGTTCTACTTCACCTACTTCCCCAAAAATTTTGAGGGAGTACACTTGGCCTGATTCCGGGACAACCCAGGAACACGTGGCAGTAAGCCAGCATGCACCCATACTTTTAATGTAATCATGAGATGCTCAGTTAGTGTTCATGAAATTGTTTGGGTTCATATTACCACAGCCGATGTTCCTGGTGCACGTTTATGTGAAGAACAGTGTTTTCAGTGGGGGCAGATTTGCCCCAAAGGGAACCTTGGCAATGTTTGGAGACTCTTCGGTTGTCCCAACTGAGGGATTAGGGATGATGGTAACCATCTGGTTGGTGAGAGGCCAGGCAGACAGCCAAACACCCTACAAAGCCAGGGCACCCTCCACAACAGCCAAATAGCCGTAATGCTGAGACTGACTGACTCTAATGCAGAAATGTTTTCTCTGTCCATGTGTGTTTCAGGATTTTATAGAAACCCTGCCAACATTTACAGGATACCATACCCAGGACCTTTTTGGAATGTGGACTAAAGTCTACGACCCTTTATTTTGTGAGGTAAAAGAAAAAATATCAAAGATTAACTTGCAGTCTGATTTTTTTACTTATTCCTATTTTGAAACAGATAAATACACTTTCTTACACTTTTTGGCAGATATATTATGCTTCCTTTGACATTGAAACATAATTCAAGACTTCTTTATATTAAATTGAAAACTCTAACTTTTTCTCTCCATTTATGTTTTCACCCTTTAGAAAACTGCAGGCAAAATTGCTTTTCTTTTGTCTTGCCATTTACTTATTT